ATAAGATATTAATTTAATTAATAGGTTAAATAATGATTTAAATAATAGTTAAAGTGTTAGGCAACACTTTAATTATGTAAGGAATACTTACAAAATTATTTGGAATTATTTGGAGTGTGCTAGGCGTTTTCGTGAGCAGAAGGGGGTTTTCGGTGGGCTTGAGGAGTTTTCAGTGTGTTCTTGGTGTTCTTAGTGAAATTATGAAGATTTGAAAATCGTTCTTGGTGTTCTTGGTGTTCTAGGTGGGATTATGATGATCTGGGTAGAAAACTCTTGAAGATATGAAGATTTTGTATGACTTTTGAGAGCAAAACGAGGGTGTTTACGGTTGAGAAATTGAGAAATTATTTGAGTTTGAGTCTAAATACTTATATATAGGTGGGGTTTTCGGCCTTAGTGGGCCTTAAACTGTAACGCTCAGTTCCTGATATGTATTTTAAATAAGAATTATGCATTTTTACAAAGGAACTCAACGAGTTGGAGGCCCCAAACTCGTCGAGTAGGAATTTGATATGTTGGACGCGGGACTTGAAGTCTAATCGACGAGTTGAGGAGCCTCGACTCGACGAGTAGGCCTGCCAGAGTGAAACCCTAATTTCCAGGGTTTGCACCCTATTTAAACACCTTAACACCCTCACTATGGCCTCCCCCATCGCCTCCCTTAGTCCAAAAAACCCTAACTCGAAACCCTAACCCACTTTGAGTGTTCTTGAGCCATTTTTGTGTATTTTGGTGGTTTTGAAGCTTGAGAAGGAAGAAGAATCTTCGGAGTTCAAGAGGAAGCAAGTAGATCCAAAGGTTGTGATCTATTTCCAGCTCTTTTGAGGTATAAAGTTTATACCTTGTCCATTCATCTAGTATATCTCTTTTGGGGTAGTTTAGGGCTTTAAGGAGCCATTTTTGGAACCATTCATGGATGCAAGCATGTTTTGGGGTTTAGACTTCAGATCCAGGGTCCTTGAGGGACTCCATGGCATAAAGGTGCCAACTTTATGTCCATGGGAGTCCCATGCATCCTATGAACCACTTTTTAGGGCTTTTTGAGCTAAATAGCCCATGCATGAACGTAAAGTTTGTAACTTTACGTGTTAAGCCCGACTAAAATCGACTGTATAGTCTTAGGATCAAGGGGGACTCGACGAGTCGCTCATAGGACTCGGCAAGTCGGATCGTGGTTCCCCAACCTTCTCTATTACTTAGCAACTTGATGAGTCTAGAAGATGACTCATCCAGTGAGACGTGTTTTTGACTTAAGGTCAAGGACTCGACGAGTCCAAGGATGAACTTGCCAATTCAGTGAACAAATATCCCAACTGTATGAAGGAGAACTCGACGAGTCCAAGGAAGGACTCGACGAGTTCAAATGGAAAGTCCCGATTCTGTCATAAAGAGAAACTCGGCGAGTTAGAGGGTAACTCGACGAGTCGGATCGCGAATTCGAGTTTCTCTGAATTATGGAACTCGACGAGTTGATGGATCAACTCGGCGAGTTTAGTCAAACAGGATGTTGGCTTTGACCAGGGCGTTAACTTTGACTTTGACTTGACCTTTATCCAAGAGTGACCCTTAAAAGGGATATGAATATGAAGGAGTAACTAAAGGAGATTGTTATATGTAGGAGGTTAAGGAGAGTTGATCCCAGTACCGAGGACAGTTCAGTTACTGTACGATATTGAGGTGAGTTACCTTCCAGTAGAAGTGGGTCTAAGGCCACAATGTCGGCCCACTAGTAGGAGTTGTTTGTTAGATAATTGTCTTTGTGATAATGGTCTTGTATGCCACTATCTGTTATGTTTTATGTGCTAGTATGGTATGATGTTATGCGATAGTGGTAGTAGGGGGAATAGTCCCCGTATCAGGTCTAAAGGACCCAAGGGGTAGGTCGGGCACCCCGGTATGCCTGACAGTATGTTTATGTTATGTTGTTATATGGTAGTGGTAGGGGTAAAATAGTCCCCGTAACCGGTTGAGATACACCGGAGGGTAGGTCGGGCACCCAGATATACCTGACATGGGGTAGGTTAGGCACCCCGGTATGCCTAGCAGGGGTAGGTTGAGCACCCCGGTATGCTCAACAGGGAAGGTCGGGCACCCAGATATGCTTGGCAATATGTTTATAGTTTGGTATGTGGTATGATGGGGGAACTCACTAAGCTTTGTGCTTACGGTTTACATTTTTTGTTTCAGGTCCTTCTTCTTCGAAGGGAAAGGAGTCAGCTCGGTAGCAGCGCATCACACTATTATTCCGCACTATGTTGTTCTGGGGATTGTACTCTGACATTATTATTATTATTCCATGACATGTTTTATGATATTGATGATGTTTTTCAGTAAACTATTTTATGAGTTACTTAATTAAAAACAAAATTTTTGGTCATGATTTTTGGGATGTTACATAAACCTTTATGTTTTCGGTCATACACTTCCTTTAAGGAAGTGTTTTCGGTCATAAAGTCCAAGAGTAAATGGATTTTGGTCAAAGAGTCAAAGGGAAAAGGGTTTGCGGTCAAGGCATTCTAGAATGGGTGTTTTCGGTTGCTTTATTCTAAAAAGGGAGGTGTTTTCGGTTTGGTTTTGGGATAAGATTCCCTAGACCGAAAACTACCTTTATACCTTGATTTATCATATATTAAGTTAAGTATAATCCTTTTATTTGAACTAGTGTAAGCTTGGTTTGATCTAGTGTGATTTTATGTTAAGTATTTAGCTTATACTAGCCTACCTCAACATGGTTTTCCACATATACTTGTATATAAGTTAAATGAACATGCACTCTAGGCATTCAAAGTTCTTATATCATCAACTTATGTTGTGAATTTACTTGAATGTGATTGTAATTGAGACTTTCATTTGAACAAGTTTGAATTACATTAACTTGAAAAATGGCGGGTTGTTACAATGTTGGTGGCAGGCAGGAAGCTATGCATCCTAAAATCTTCGCCGTTAGTTTTGTCAAGCAGCTCGAACCTCTTATGGTTTTTTCATAAATTCTTTGCTTAATGCTAAAACTGTAATTTTCTTCAGTATTATTCAAATTTTGGATGTATGAGTAGATCTACTCATATCTTTCCAGATTATGAACTCTTTCAAGATCTAGAGATTCGTATATTATCCGGTAAAGTTGCTTTCTGTTTTGTGCTTAAAACTGAAATTGTCCATGAGGAGTATTAATGATTGAATTTCTTGAAACTCATGCATATGGTTTAATATGAAATTAAAAAGTGAACTTACAAGGTCCTCAAGTGGCCACTGATGAGGCCCCTCGGAGTTACTCTAGTTCATAATCAGAAACACCTAATCTTAACAATGCATGTACAACAACCAGAGATGTACATCATACCCTCTAGCTACCAATCGGATTATTAATACATTGTAGCCTCTACCTACCAATCGGGTCATATACCTTGTTTTTCACCCCCAACAAATGGTTTTTTTTGAGCTTGTAGACCCACTTGCACTTAAGTGGCTTATTTCCTTTCGAAACAATAACAATATCCCACATGTAACTTTTTTACAAAGACTTCATGTCACTGAACATAGAAACCACCCACTCAATTGAGTTCAAGGCTAATATTTATTTTCCTCTTGAGAACACAGAGGCTCTAAAACTAACTCGATATCATCCGCCACAGTAAAAGCATAGACAATAAGGTCAACTTGAGCATATCTTTTGGGAGGTACAATTTGTCCCTCAATATATCTATTGCAATGTTGCACGATTGGAGAACCTTGTGTTTGTGGGTGAAGGAAACTAGCTAACCACATGCTCACTAGACGAAGATGGTTCCCGTTATAGGCATAGTGGGTGTTAATGAGAACTCTACCTCCACTTAGCAACCTCGTGAATCATGGTGGTCACATCAAAAGTCAATCTCTTGAGATAGTTACTTTTTTTAGCTCATAACTTTATAGTTTTAGTTTTTTCCTCTCGAATAGTTCCTGATGGCGTACCCCATAGTGGTCCGTCGTGACACAACTAAACACGATGGTATCCAGTCATGGCAAAACAGCCACTAGCTCAAACGGAGCAAAGGAAAAACAGTTGGACGACCCCAACCAGCCAAACCCGGGAGCCAGCGGAGACCAACGCTCGGGCTAGACCATAACAAGACAAACGAGAGGACCAGCTATTCCCGACAGCCAGCGTCACGTAGGAGAAGACTTCTTGATCTTCACGCAAGGCTATGAGCTAGCATACGTGAGGAGGCGTCAGTATGGTTGTGCACGAGCCACTACTATTTATTCCCTATGCACCAATCAAAGCAGAGGAGTCAGACGGGGACAAATGGACCAATAGCAACCATGTATGCAAAATGTCGTTGTTATGGTCCCCTCCGCCCAAAAACCCTAACTATATAAGCAACATATGGATCATTTGAGGAGGTAGGCTCTCTCTCTCAGGACTCTCGATACGATATCACTTAAAGTCTTTCCCATCTCGTTGACTAGAGCGTCGGAGCGTCCTCCCGATATCTTCTTTCGGAGAACCTCTAACATGTTTATTGGCTGTAGTCACAGGTTCCGCTTGGAGATTCCTTAGTCAGCCGGAGTCACACCTGTGGAACGATGTCACAACAGTTCCCAAGAAACACACTTAACTGCTCTTGACTCTAAATTTTCATTGTCATCGAGTGCATATGTTGCACATCCAGATCCATAAAGTCTCAAATTTGTGTAGTCAGCAGCCTTCCCACACCATAGATCAATAGGAGTTTTAATCTCATTTGTTCGTAAAGGCTAAATTTTACTAAAATAAACAAATCATATGCATTGAATCCAATGGAAGTCTCCTTTTAAATAAAAATAAACAAATTATGCGAATCCAAGTTAGTTTAACAGGTTTTGCAAGCATCAAAATCCGGGAAGATTCTTAAACACATTGACCAAAAATTGTTCAATTAAAACAAGTTTTAAGAACAATAATAATAATAATAATGTAAAAACAAATAGTGGAGAAATAAAAAGCAATATCATTGAATTAACAAGTTTTTCATGAATACGAACAAAATAGATTTTTCATTAAATTTAACATATATAAACATATTAACTAGTTAAAATCCTACCCCTAACAATTCAAACAACCACCGATCCGATAACAAACCCTAAATTGATATCCTAACCGCAACAGAACAAACCAGCTTTTGATGTGAATTACGCAACTTTCTCGTTCTAATCGTCGTCACCAGTTGGCTTAGAAGAACCGGGTGCCTTCTTCGGAAGCAATAGGTTGTGGATGTTGGGCATTACACCTCCATTAGCGATTGTCACATCACCTAGAAGCTTGCTTAGTTCCTCATCGTTCCTTACGGCCAATTGGATATGTCTCGGCACGATTCTCGTCTTCTTGTTGTCCCTTGCAGCGTTTCCAGCCAACTCAAGCACCTGCAGATAATTAATTTCAGAATTTAAAAACCCTCAATTAACAAACCCTAGAAATTTCATATACACGAATGCAGATCTATTAACGAAAGATTGACGAGTGAAACTTACTTCTGCTGCTAGATATTCGAGGACGGCGGCAAGGTAGACAGGAGCTCCAGCACCAACACGCTCAGCGTACTTACCGGCTTTCAAGAAACGGGCGATACGACCGACGGGAAATTGTAGACCAGCCTTACTACTTCTTGAAGTGGCCTTCTTTGCTGCTCCGGATGATGCTAGGGTTTTGCCTCGACCAGCCATTGTTTCCGACGGAAAATGTATCCGGGTAACGATCAAAGGCCAGAGAGTGACGGCGATGAGGAAGAGAAAGATCTGGTAATACTTATGGTTTTAGTTTGTATATATACCCGTTTGGACAGGTTAATATCAGCCAATAGAATTGGAATACATGGATCGTGATTATTATCCGTTCGATGAAATAAGATATGGGGCTGAGATTCGTGCGGCACTCCTCGTGATGTCATTGGTAATTCATATTGAATATAATTATTTAAGGGAGTGGTTTAAAAGAACTAATTTGTTGATAGCATTCATCAAAATTTACGTCTTTTTTTTTCGCTTGGTTGTTATTTTATCGACGAAATAAACAAATAATAATTATTGTTTGTCAATATGACGTATTTAGGTAATTAATTTTTCGGTATTTTTACATCTGGGTAAGTATTTTTTTTTTACACATCTAGGTAACAAACTTGTTGAAAGTGTTCACATATGATCATTATGACCTGCTATAGCAGGTTAAATCCTAGATGTGAACGCTTTCAACAAGTTCGCTACCTAGATGTGTACAAAAACAAATAGTTATCCAAACATGAACAAAACAAAAAGTAAAAATTAAATTACACGAATGGTCCCTGTGGTTTGGAGGAATTTGTGTTTGTCGTCCCTAACTTATTTTTTTAACTTGGATGGTCTCTACTGTTTATTTTTGTTGCGCGTTTGGTCACTGTCTTTCCTAAAAAGACTATTGTGCCCTTATTAATTTATTTTTTAATTAATTTTCTTATTTATGTATTTATTTTTTACATATTTATAAAAAAATTAATAGACCCCACATATTTGTATCTCTCCTCGGATTATCCTTACTGTTTATTTTTTAATTAATTTATTTTTTAACTCGGATGGTCCCTACTGTTTATTTTTGTTATGCGTTTGGTCCATGTCTTACCTAAAAAAGACTATTTTGCCCTTATTAATTTATTTTTTAATTAATTTTCTTATTTATGTATTTATTTTTTATATATTTAAAAAAATTAATATAACCCACATATCTGTATCTCCTCACCGTAAACCTGAAACCACATTTGAGAAATTTAATTTGGGTCTTACCGATCACCATCTCATCTCTCATCCTCCCCAACTTCTATTTCTTTTCCATCTTTAGTAACATCGATGTCTTCACCATCCTTCTTTTTTTGGTACTTCAACTCTGGCGAACCAACACCATAACCTACTGTCTCTTCATCTTTAGTGGGTTGTGGTGTTGATTCGACGGAGTTGAAGGACCGAAAAAAAAGGGATGATTAAGACGGCGATATCACTAAAGATAGAAAATAAATAGAAGTTGAGAAGGATGAGAGATGGGATGGTGAGGAGATACAGATATGTGGGGTCTACTAAGTTTTCTTGAATATATAAAGCATAAGTACATAAACAAGAAAATTAATTAAAAAAATAAATTAATAAGGGCACAATAGTCTTTTTAGGTAAGACAGAGACCAGGCTCGTAACAAAATTAAACAGTAGGGACCATCCGAGTTAAAAAAATAAATTAATTAAAAAATAAACAGTAGGGATCATCCGAGGAAAATTAAATTTTTTAAATATGTAAAAAATAAATACATAAATAAGAAAATTAATTAAAAAATAAATTAATAAGGGCACAATAGTCTTTTTAGGTAAGAAAGGGACCAAACGCGCAACAAAAATAAAAAATAAACAGTAGAGACCATCCAAGTTAAAAAAAAATAAGTTAGGGACCAAAAACACAAATTCCCCCAAACCACAGGGACCATTCGTGTAATTTAATTTTTTTCTTTTCGTTTTGTTCTTATTTGGGTAACTATTATTTTTGTACACATCTAGGTAACGAACTTGTTAAAAGCGTTCACATCTAGGATTTAACCTGCTATAGCAGGTCATAATGGTCATATGTGATCATTTCCAACAAGTTTGTTACGTAGATGTGTAAAAAAAAAAGATAGTTACCCAGATGTGAACATACCGAAAAGTTAATTACCTTGATAAGTCATATTCCCTTATTGTTTAGGTAATTTGTGTGTTCTGAACATATTAACAAACTTTCACCACATTGTTACTCATATAGTGATTGGTAAGGTGGAGGACGATTGGGCGGGGGCTTGTTGGCGCCAACAGATGTCACGTACGGGTTTCGCCTATATTCATGTTTTTATATACAAAATATCTAAAACTATAAAATTTTGAACTGTAAATTAAAAACTTAATAAGTAGCTTAATAGGACTTATATAGGGTGATGAGACAATGAATCAAGTATTGAATGAATTAGAGAGTAAATTCAAAGTAGAATTGAAAGATTTGAAGACCAATGTAAATATGATCTGTTTGGCTCTATTACGCTTTTGCAAATTTTACAGAGTACCATGAATATTCTGTAAAGACTTCGTTTTTAAGACACTAGTAACCACTCCTATTTATAGAAGAGAAAAGCGTACAAAAAATATACTAAGGACTAAACATGAAGCTTCGAATATTATGCCCTAGTAAAATACATTATAAAATGTTCGAAGACCCTAAATACAAACTTCGACTATTACAACATTTCGACCCTTACAATCTCCCCCTTTGTAATTAAAGTCGAAGTCTTCAGTTTGTAAGTAGAGTAATGGAGTACAACAAAACTCTTCGAACCTCAGTATACCAAGAAATAATTTTCTTCAATTCCTTCTTGTCTCCTTCATTATTCTTTTTGCAGTGGTTCATACGAACAATCAAGTTCGTATATTGAGATGTAGAGTATCTCTCCACTTCGCTAGCTTGGAACAAAAACCGCTTCACTTTTCCAGCTTTATCCTTTCCAGCAAAAACTATTCCAAATGGCTTTAAACATATTTCTCCATCAGCATATTTCTTTAACTCAGTATGAGTTAACGAAGGAGCCATTGGAACTTTTACTTCCATTCCTTTTGCAGTAGCCAACTCCACATCAGTCAGTGCTAG